ACAAATACACAGTAGCCTGTAGTGGATCTACGATCATCCATACAACCCGCCCAATCAGCATCACAATAGCCTTTAATTCTCAGATGTCCAAAACTCCTGAACCATAACCCCTTTCCTGGGCTTCCTTTAATATATCTAAGAATTCTGCGAACTGCCTCCATATGCTGCTCTCTGGGATCATGCATATATCTACTCACCACACTCACTGCATGAGTAATATCAGGTCTCGTATGGCATAGATATATAAGTCGTCCAACCAATCTTTGATATTGCTCTTTACTCACAGGGTCCCCACCCTCGGCACTCATCTTATGATTCTGCTCAATAGGAGTAGATGCAACTCTACACCCCAACATCCCTGTCTCTGAGAGAAGATCCAGAGCATACTTCCGCTGAGAAAGCACTATAACCCTTTCGCGACCTTGCAATTTCAATTCCGAGAAAGTACTTCAACTGCCCCAGATCTTTAACTTCAAATTCCTCTCCCAATTTCTTCTTCAACAGTAGGATTTCCTCAGCGTCATCTCCAGTGATTACAATATCATCAACATAGACTGTCAGGATAGTGATACGAGTGTTGGAGTGCCTGTAAAACACAGTATGATCACCATTGCACTGCTTGTACCCCATACCACAAACTGCCAGCCTGAATCTATCAAACCATGCCCTCGGAGACTGTTTTAATCCATACAAAGACTTCTTCAACTTGCACACCTTCCCAGCTACTTGAGAAGTAGTGAAGCCTGGTGGAATCTCCATATATACCTCCTCTTGAAGATCTCCATGTAAAAAGGTATTCTTGACATCTAGCTGATGTAGTGGCCAATTAAAATTGGCAGCACATGACACCAACACTCTAACAGTACTCATCTTTGCTACTGGAGCAAATGTCTCGTCATAGTCAATGCCGTATGTTTGGCTGTAGCCTTTAGCAACCAATCTGGCTTTGTATCTGTCGATCTTGCCCTCTAGAGTTTGCTTAACCGTATACACCCACTTACATCCAACAGCTCGCTTCCCAGCTGGCAAAGGTACTAACTCCCATGTGTCATTCTTCTTCAAGGCCTGGAGTTCCTCATGCATGGCATTCAACCACCTAGGATCTTGCTTAGCTACCTGCCAGTTGTTAGGTACAGGCACTGAATGCAACGATGCAATGAATGACTTATATGCAGGTGGAATGGATGCATATGAAATGTAATTCGCAATATCAGTATCCCAGTTACCAAACTTAGCTGGAGGCTTTCCAGCATTGACTCTAGAGATTCTGCGGGGCAAGACAGGAGTATCAGAGGTATCAGGGAAGGAATCGTTACCTATTGACTCAGGTGGAGGAGAAGAGCAAGGCACTGGAGGGGAGTGACTTGGGTCATCAACATTTGTGGGTACTGACACAGGCACGGGAGACGGCTCATGCTGCTGTTTCTGTCTCCTCGTGTATACTCTCAGCTCCCCCTGACTTTGACTACCAACTCCTAAGTCACCACCACTACTCGGCGATGTACCATCACTACTCGGTGACTCAAGAGGACATGGAATCATCCCGACCACAATATCATTCTCATTCTCATTCCCCCCCTCTCTACTAGCATCAGTAGAGTCATCTCCAAACAAGGAACTCAACTCCGTCTTCTCCCCATAAAAAGGTTCAAACTCCCGAAAAGTCACATCCATACTGACAAACAGCCTTCTTTCAGTGGGACACCAACACTTGTATCCTTTTTGACTTGATGAGTAGCCAACAAAGATACATTTAACTGCTTGCGGATCCAGTTTACTCACCATCAATCTGTGATCTCTCACATAACATGTGCATCCAAACACTCTTGGTGGAACAACAAAAACATTCGAGCCCAAAAGCATCTCACATGGTGTCTTCATCCCTAATACTCTTGATGGCATCCTGTTGATCAAATAAGCTGCTGTCATAACAGCCTCACTCCATAAAAACTTAGGCACATTCATTGTCAACATCAATGAGCGTGCCACTTCCAGTAGATGCCTGTTCTTACGCTCAGCCACCCCATTCTGAGCAGGGGTGTCTGGGCAGGTGGTTTGATGAACAATTCCCTGATTAGAGATGAAAGCTGCAAACTCCTTATTGACATACTCAGTCCCATTATCTGTTCGAAGAATCTTCACCTGCACTCCAAACTGTGTCTTCACATAAGCCGAGAAATCTTGAAAACATTTGTAAACCTCTGATTTCTGCTTCATCATGTATATCCAGGTCATACGTGAATAACAATCAATGAAAGTAACAAACCATCTAAAACCACTGATAGAGGTAGTAGGACATGGTCCCCAAACATCAGAATGGACAAGTGCGAATGGTTCACAACTTCGAAGACCAATCATTCTATAAGTAGAACGAGTATGTTTTCCAAGTTCACATGCATTACAAAATAACTCTTTTCTATCCACTTTCTTCATTAACTCAGGTTCTAATGTATTTAAACTCTCAAAAGATAAATGCCCTAACCGGCAATGTTGAAGCATTGCTTCTGCCTCTGGCCCTCCGCTAACAGCAGCAGCAATCATTGCAGTCTCCCTGTCCAAATACCAAAGACCATCACGTCTGATGCCAGTCCCAATCCTCCTCCCCGTTTTCTTCTCTTGAAAGACACAAATCTCGATCAAATAACACGGTGCAATTTAATTGGTCAATGAGAGAGCTAACTGAGAGTAAGTTAACTGGAAACGAAGGAACATGCAATACAGATGACAAGGTAACAGATGAAGTGCAATGGACCGAGCCAGTACCCCTGATGGGTTGGGATGTCCCATCAGCAGTCTGAACTGTCTCAGGATGCATATGTTTACTCGGATAATATAATGCAAACTCACTAGATGTTCCTGTGACATGCCTAGACGCACCTGAGTCTATGATCCAATCAACATGAGTTTTAGTGGATGTAAGTGCCTGAACCTGTGTACCTTTGGTCGCATGAGCATAACCAATAAAGTTACCAAAACATGTAGTGGTAGCTAGATCCTGGGTGACTTGTCCCTTGCCCTTCGACCTCTCAGCCTGAAGCTTGAACAGACGTAGTTCCTCTAGCTCTGTTATTTCAGCTCCAGTCATCCCAGCAGTGGTCTGAGATTCATCTGCCACAGCTAGGTGAGCAACTCCTTGGCTTACACGCCCCCTGCCTCCTCGACCTGCACGACCACCAGTCTGATCACGTTCACCCCAGTTCCTTTCCTTGGGTGGCTTAGGGCACATCTGTCTCAGATGCCCTACCTCTCCGCAGTTGAAACACTGCCTAGTCTTCCTTCTGAATCCAATGTTATCCGGGTTGGATACCACCAGTGCAGACTTCTCCCGTCTAAGTCCACCTATCCCAGACCGTAGCCTGATACGACTCTCCTCCTGTATCATGGCCGAGACTGCCTTCTCCAGTGGTGGGATCTTCGTCTGGGTTAGTAGCAATACCGTCCTCTGCTCATACGCTGGAGCCAAACCTCGGAGAAACGACATGGTCCTCTTCTGCAAAGAGGCCTCGCGCTCCTTGCACTCAGGGTCCTTGCAGCTCGCTAGGGGCGAGAAGTAATCGTGATCGAGCCACAAGCGTTCCAGCTCTGTGGCGTACTCCTGTACAGTCCTCTCTCCCTGGACTATACCGCTGATCTCCTTCTCGATCTGGAATACCCTCAGGTTGTTCAACTTTTTGATGATCTCCTCCATCGGATTTTTTCCAGTCTTTGTCATCGATCCAACTTGTATTCTTGTGGTGCGCAACGAAAAAAATCCGGCAGCACTTCGACAGTACAACGAGATAGATAGATCACAAGAATTCCTGTTTCACCAAGAAAACAGGAACCAGAAGCAAGATATCTCAACAAAGTGAGATATCAGCTCTTCTCTCATCAGTTCTAGGACTGACTTGTCGAGGGAACCTAAATAAACTATTACAAATCAATTTTTCCTCCTTTTTCTTTTCTTTTCTTTCCCTTTTTTTTTTGTGACAGACGTTAATCAACAGAAACCAATCAAATCACTAGAACAAAATAATCACTAGAACCTTCAATTCCACACATCTCCTCTCCAACATCCAAGCACACATCGCAAAAACCCATTCATCATCGTTCAAAGAACTGCGCTCCCCCTTTTCTTCTCCTTTTTTTTTCTTCTTCTTCTCTTGGATCTGAGCAGCAACACTCCCTGCAGATCAAAGAACCAAGCTCCGAACCGTGATTCCTCCAGCTCCCGCCATCGGACTCTCCCCCGTAGCCGCGATCACATCACCGACTCGCTTCACCTAGGGTTCCAGTTCTCTCTTTCATTCGATCGATCTATCGATCTCTCAGTACCCTGCAAGTGGCGGCGTCATCATCACTTCTTTGGACGACAGCAACGGCCTCCACCAGCGCCAGGCAGCAGCGGCTCACACAGCAGCGCAGCACCGCCTCCATCTCTTCCTTCTTCTGTCTCTGGAGCAGCGACAGGAGCACCGCCTCCTTCTAATTCCTTCTTCGTTTCTGGAGCAGCGACAGCGCACCCACAGCAGGCAACAGCGGCTCCACCAGCAGTAGCACCGCCTCCTTCTCTTCCTTCTTCGTCTCTGGAGCTCCGACCAACAAACGGCGGAGATCAAGCTCCGACCAACAAACGGCGGAGATCAAGTTTCGTCTCTGGATCTGGGCTGGAGGCGAGGGATGCGGTGGAGATGGGCAGCTCTGATCTTTGGAGATGGGTTCTCCGGCTAGATCTTTGGAGCCGCCACAGCAGCTCTGATACCATGTAGTCTTTTGGGATTGGAAAATTAGGGTTACTTTCACTCATAGAGAGATACCCCTTTTATATAAGGGCACTCTTACAAATAGGTCCTCACAGCATTGACTAATTACTATCTAATAACTCAACAAGATATATATAAAATACCTTACTATTTTGGCCTTGCTTTAAATATACCATTCGTAAGTGGCCGAAAATGAGAGCATAAAATCAACATACATGCTGTAATCAAGGACTTTCAACAAGAATAATGCATGTATACCTGAAGTGAGTGAGTGAATATCCTCTGAAAACCACCTGAGTTTTGCTGGAGTCAATATTTTTGTCAACCCAATTAGCCCAAGTAGTAAGAGCCTTAGTGTAAGCTTTCATGACCTTGAGCACCGGATACACATGATTACCTTCTTGGTAGTAGTCAATTCTGGCAATTTGACAATAGAATTATATGATGGCAAAACAAAGGACATAAAAATCGGTTATCTTTACAATTTATTAGATTTTGGTACAAGAAAGACATGAGATTCTCACCCGCTAGAAGTTTTCTCATGAGTCCACCAATGACCTGTATTGAAAACTATTACATCAGCTTCTCTGTATGCTGAAGTTGTTTCGTCCAGTAGGTCTAATCTAAGCCTCTCGTCCTCAGATCCATTTTTATTTTTGAAATATAATTCCCTAACCAAAAATGTTGATCGTACATAGTCGACAGAGCAGTCATAATCCTAGATTGGAGAAAAAAGAAAAAGAAAACTTGAATTATTGATTTTAAAGAATGAAATGAATCCTTAAAATTAGAATACAAAACAAAGTTATTTTACCTTGAACTTGAAAGAGTAATACCCTCTTGTTTTAAAGTTATGTTTTCCAGAGGCTTCATAGACTCTGCGTTTATCTTTGACACTATGGCGGAGTATACACACCAGAGACTCCCACATATTTCTATTTAATGAGTCGCCCACAAAAATTAGCCTTTTCCCTCTTAATCTTACTAGAAAATCAGTCGCATTCAAGCTATCAGAAAGAAAGAACACACATTATTTCATATTGAATGCAAAGTACATACAATGATGTAAACAAAAGGAGCGAAAAATCACATCCTCACAGGAGTCAAAACCATGACTGACGAAGGCACCTGGAAGTCTGGAACTAGTGCTTACTTATCATTATTTTCCATTTCGTAACAAAATTTCAAGAAATCTATAGTCCTATAGTCAGGTTTGATTAAAAGTGAGGATCTCTCTTCATCAAGACAGTTGCATTAGGGCGATCCTTTAAGTTTCTAAGCTTCCTGATAGACTTTTATTTCAGTACTCAAGACAGAGTACCAATATATTATTTTCAGTAATATTAAATGAGATGTAGTAGGTAAAGTTTTAAAATTCCATGATGAAAACAAAACCTTTTTATGGTTTCACCTGCTGCACTTATTTAAGGATTATAAAAAGATATTAAGAAAACTCAAGACCACTGAACAAAAATGATCAAGAACATGCAGAAAATCTTAACCATATCACAAAGAAAGGTCCATGCTTTGTAGACTCGGGGAAAGAATGTTGGCACATAAGTTCTCCAAAATCGAAATGTATGAATAAGGCTTGTATTCTTATAGTGCATTAAAATTCATATATGAGAGAATCTATACAGTAAAATGGCCTACAAAACCAATACAATTAGAGAAACTATGCCATTAAACGGCCTACAAAACCAGTATAAATTTTTTCCTACATCATATGGGATAGCGACATGATAGGCTTCATGTTTGTAGATAGTTATCAGGCGAATAAAGGTTTATATGTATGTAAGGGCCAAAAATTTAAGAAACTCATAGGAAAAAGTTGATCGCAACATTGAGGTTTTGTGATTCCCTTTACTAGTCTAAACTGCTATGTGATATATTAACATATTACTTCCCCGAAAAATGAGCAAAATATTTAGGCAATTCTTTACAGTGAAGTTGTTGCTCATCATCAGCCGTACAAAGCCCAAAATGTCTAAGAAAAATTATATGTATTCAATGATAAAAAGTTGAGAATGCTTTGCCTACACGCGCGCGCACACACACAAAAAGAAAAGTTGAGAATGCTTCAACAATGTTGCAACCTACCAATCTCAGTCTCAGGAAGCAGTTTCCAATTAAGCATTCAAGAATAACTCTTGGCAAATTACGCATAAATCTATTTATAAAATCCAACACTGAAAGTAAGAATGCGCCCGAATCATCCTCAAACTAAATGCAAAGCCTACTTATCAATTACATTATTAGTATTTCAAGATATAGTTAAAAAGTTAGGGAACAATAAAACGATAGTAATCGCAATTACAAATGCAATTCTATAATATGTTGATAGCAAAAACTTTATCACTTAACCCATTAGTAATGAAAAAAGACAATTACCGAGGAATGTCACAGTCATTAGGCTGCCATCTCCATCTCAAGAACTCATCATCAGGCCTCCCATTCTTGTGGCAATCAAAATCGATATCGATATAGGGGCATGATCCTCCAGGATAGAATGCTTCTGTCTCATCTCTCACCCATCTCCCATTGAATATATTGCACTTGTCACTGAGAAGCTCTCCCTTCGCTTTTACAGAACCAGAATCATTGCTAACATTCTTATTATTTCCTTCAGTATTTGATCCAAGAACTTTCTTTTCTACTCCAGCCTGGGAGCTGTTCTTTGAAGGCACGTTCTCAATAGTAACTTGAGGCAGCAAACTGCTAGAATTATTGGTTTTGCCTGATGAATTCTTGAAATAGGCATTGCCCAAATCCATTTCGATTCCAGAAAAACTACTTCTTGATGAATTGCCATCTTGGGTTTTCTCCGAAATAGAATCACTGCTTACATTCTTATTTCCTACAATATTTGATCCAAGATCCTTCCTTTCTACTTCATCACTGGAGCTACTGTTCAAAGGCTTATTCTCAATGATAACTTGCTCAACTGAACCATTGACTGCTCCCAAAATGGATTCTTGACGCACAAAACTGCTGGAATTACTGGATTCCCCAGTTGAATTCTTGGGATGGGCATTGCCCAAATCCAGCTCTTTTCCAGAAAAACTACCTTTTGATGAAATTCCATTTTGGGTTTTCACCAAACCAGTTGAATTCATGCCCAAATCTGAGGAAGCACTAATGTCGGATGATGAGTTGCCATTCACTGGACCCAATAAAATCTTGGTGGAGTTTGAGGCAGAGTTACTGGAGAAAACCCAAGAGAAGAAAGAGGAGGAGGATGAAGAAGTGACAGTTGATGGAGAGCTGAGAGTGGAGAACAGTGAGAAGATTAGTAGAGAAGCTAGTAGAGCTAGTCCAAAGCCAGAGAGCACTCTCCTCTTGAAGGAGAAGTGCTCAAAGAAGAATGAGTTCTTGAGATCCATGCCCAAAACAAAACAAGAAAGTGAGAAATTGGGAAAGGGTGAGAATAACAATGTAGAGGAGCTTGCTCCTTGGGAATGGTGACTGGGTGTAGAAGAGCAGGAGATGAGAAAAAAAAAAAAAAAGAGAGAGTGCAGAGATTTTGACAGGTAGGGAGGGAATAAGTTAAAGCGGTGTTTTGATCTCTGTTTGTATTTGAGTTAATTAATTAAATTTGAATTGGGTTTTTGGGCTAATTGTAGGGGTGGGCAAAAACCGAAACAAACCGGTTCAACCGAAAAAACCGCCCGAAAAAACGGATCGGTTAACCGAACCGAATTAAATGGATGAGAAGAAGTCTCTAAACCGTCCGAACCGAATTAAACCGGTCTGGATCCGGTTTGACCCCCTGAACCGCCCAAAAAAAACCGAACCGAATTCTTAAACAAAAAATAGCTGCGAGCCTTGGGTGTGAAGAAAATTTATGGCTGAATGTTTAGCATTTAAGAATTGTGAGGTGGAGTTTATACTAACATATATTTGAGTACGCTGATATAGTTAAGTGAGATTTCCGTAAATCAATACAAGATGTTGAGGTTGAAGGATAAATTTAGTGTTTTGGTCAAATTTCAGTGATAACATGAATACAGCTTGCTGGTGCTGGATATCAAATTAACCTATAGTATAGGCTGTCAAGGATATAAGATAATTCTTGATGAGAAAAAGGCAGCTAAAAATTAACGAAAATCATCAAAAGGTGTGTGTGCCTGCCAAACATTGTTCTTTCTCTAAAAAAGGCTACATAATTACATGGTCCTCCTAGTGTATTAAGCTAGTTATATTCAGATCATACAATTTGATTAAGTGGCTTAGTACAGTTTTGATTATTTCTTTTCAGTTTTGATTGCTTCTTTTCAGTTTTGGATATAACTAAAACTTACCCAGATTTTTGTGAAATGGAGTTAATTCGGTTCAAAACCGAAACCGAACCGAACCGAACCGAATTTTGGTTGGGCCGAATATTCGGATGAAGGGGAAAAAATCTGGATCTGGATGAGAGTTTTAAGAATCCGAAAAATTCGGATTGGATGCGGATTGGGCTTAAAACCGAACCGAACCGAATACGCCCAGCCCTAGCTAATTGCATATGAGTACCGTGCTCGTGCTATTAAATTACTTTTATAAGTTAGCTCAAGTTTTATATTGATATATACACCTTATAAAACGGGAGTATAAATTTTATAGAAACACTAGAGGCATACCCTTAAACCACACTATCAACCACACCCCTCTTTATCTATAGTGTTTGTTGGGCCCCACATGTTTTACTAAAAAAATCATAAAGATACTATAGATAGAGAGGGGTGTGGTTGATAGTGTGGTTTAATGGTGTGCCCCTAACACTACTCTAAATTTTATCAGAACACTCCATACGACATAGAAAGTTCCGAGCCAAACGTTTTTATTGAAAGAGGAAAATTTAATCATTTTCTTTGAACTTTTCTTTGGCACAAAGAATCTCACGCCATAATGTGGGGTTCTGATAGAACTTTTACTCATGTAACTGTATCACTATGGGAGCGTTTGGCAATCGTGGCGTCTTTATCATTTCTGTTTTTTAACAAAAACAAAAAAACTTGTTTAGCAACCAGATTGTTTTTTGACTTGTCCCTTTACAAAATCTAAAAATTAAACACTTTTCTTAAAACACCAAAAAATTGTTTTGAGATTCTGTTTTTTTGATATATATGAGAAATATGGGTATGCTTGGTAGTAATGTGGCACGATGTCCTCCACTCATTCAAATGGGGAACCACATTCACATGGGTTGAGGAATGTATGAGGATATGCAACCATTTAAATGAGTGGAGGAGATTATGTCACCTCACTATCAAGCATAATTTTTTGTGCTTGGTACCAAACACACTCATATATATATAAATTTAGGTTTTACAACATTAGTCCATTACACATTTCATATTTTGAAATTAGCATCTCAAATCATTGAAATTTTTATTAGGCTTGTTAATTTTTAAGGTATACTAGAATAGGTCCCTAAAATCATTAATTAAAATAGCTCTTAGATCCCCAATTTTTATAAGTTGTTTAAATTAACCCCTCGAATTGTTACTTCTCATCTTAATTAGAGGCCTAATTTCAAAGTAATTAAGAATTGAAGGGCCTAATAGCAATTCTAAATATTTAAAACTAATCTCAAAATACGAATGATTTGGAGGGCCAATATCCAAGAAGTTAACTACGAGAAGTAAAATTAAAAGACAAATTGTAATTGAAAACCACATAAATGAAAGGCTTAAATGCGTATAGACCCTTGATATTGTCTAGTTGCGCATATGACCCTTTATCCACTCGCTGCAATTTTAACGGTTTCGAATGAATAGAACTTTTTGCACGGCTTAACGATTGGTCAAAACACAACGGGTTCACCCCAAAATTGGTGTGTTTGGGTTTAAGAACGTGTAGATCAAGTTCAACGGAGCGGGTCGCAAAAAGAATTTAGGAAATGATGTGATTCTAAGCCGCGTCCTTAGGTGGGAGCCTAGGGTGTCACATTAGATTCACTTTTCCATATATATTATATATATATATATATGAAAAATATGAGTATGCTTAGTACCAAGTATAAAAAGTTGTGCTTGATAATGAGGTGTCATATCATCCTCCACTCATTCAATTTTGGGACCATATTCACATGAGTATGGAGTGGATAAGGATGTGACACATCACTACGAAGCACAAAATTTGTACTTTGTACCAAGCATACCCATCTCTCTCTCTCTCTCTCTCTCTCTATATATATATATATATATATATATATATATATAAAAGTTCTAATTGTGTGAACAGTCCCTTGAGTCAATTTTTTTCAACTCTTAAAAAGTCAAAAATGTTTGTAGTGGCAATAGACCCGTCACGATTCTATTGGTGCATATAGAGCCCCATTTGCTATTTTTTTTAATCCTAAGAGAGTCATTAAAAAATTCACTGAGGGGATCTATCCGCCTTTGGGAAAATAATACATAGCTTTGTCCTCAACTGGGATATACTACAGAGTCTATCCTTAATTAACCCTTAGGCATCGTTTGGAAAACGGTTCTAAGAAGGAAAGGGAGTTGAAAGTGGGGGAACAAAATAACTAGTTGCATTTCATAGGAGAGTTTTGGAGAGGAGGGTGGACTGTGGAGTGAGAGAACCGGAGGGGGGGAAATGACAAAACAAACACAAAATGGTCACTGTTTATCGCTCTCTCAAATTGGGAGCAAATAGGGAACAGTAATCGCGGAGGGTCCGGAGGGACAAAAGTGATGCTCAAATGACCTTTATTAGTATTCCACGAAATTAAATTCGTATGTGCGCTCTCCAGTAGAATCGAACCTGAGACCTTAAAGTACCACTCATGAACGGTCTATCAACTTACCAGACCCTCTTAGATGCCACTCGTATTTTATTTCGATAACAAGTATTTCCAAATTAAAGAATAATATAGTATTTTAAGTTTTTAACTATGTCTTTCACATCCCCTCCCCCTTCCCTCGACCTCACAGGAACTTGTCGCGAGCCTTCCTTCGCTCCTCCCTCAACGGTAAAATAAATCCACAATATATGTACTCTCTACCTCACAGCGCTCAACTTCCCAGTCCTCATCTCTCCTCAGTCATCCCATCACATTAAGCATTAATGAGAATAAGACAAGATAATAATATTCTAACAAACAATTATATGGACTCGTTAGTGCGGTGTTATTTGATTGATTCTTCAAAGCAATCTTATGATCCATCGACAGAAGGATTAAATTGGCTCTTGTATGACACATATGAGAAGTGTCACGCATATGACACGTATGAGTACTGAGTAGGGACAAAAAAATTGCTCTTCTAATGGTGACAGTCCACCAGCCAGCGGTTCACTCGCGCGACTGTGGCTAGCACTCCTCGTAACAAGAAGATGGATACATATGTTTATAAATTTTTTTTCTAGAAAAAAGAGAAGGAATAAATATACATGTTAAAACCCTAATTTAAATTTGTTTATTGAGATAATAAGAGATATATATATAGTTATACAAATAGGGTTAAGGTTAATGGGTAATAGCCCATTAACCCAATACCCAATACTTAATTTAACACTCCCCCTCAAGCTGGATCATAGATATCTATCATGCTCAGCTTGTCACATATAGTAGAGAACACCTTTGAATAAGTAGCATTGGTAAGAATATCAACAAGTTGCTGTGAGGGCGGAGTGAATATGAGAGATACTATCTTCTTCTCTGAAGCATCTCTAACAAAATATCACTGTTCTAGCAACATCTAGAATATGCATATGATTCCTCTCAGCAACTTTATTTTGTTGTGAAGTGCAGTGGCGTAGCCAGAAATATTTTTTGCCCTGGGCGAAAAATAAAGATGGTCGGCAGTGAGGGACTTGAGCCAGAAATATTTTTTGCCCTGGGCGAAAAATAAAGATGGTCGGCAGTGAGGGACTTGAAGCGACGGAGGAGGGAGAGGAGCTTGGCGAGGGAGCGAAAAATAAAGATGGTCGGCAGTGAGGGACTTGAAGCGACGGAGGAGGGAGAGGAGCTTGGCGAGGGAGGGGAGGGAGACGCGGTAGAGGGAGGAGAGTTGGGGATTGTTGAGATGGAGGTCCTAGAAGAGGAGGGAGAGGAGGTTGGATCTGCGGGAGAGGGAGGTGAAGTGGCCGGAGAAGAAGGGAAGCGAGGGGAGGCGGGAGGGGGAGGTGAAGTTTCCTCTCAGCAACTCCATTTTGTTGTGAAGTGTGAGAGCAAGAAGTCTGATGAATAATGACATTAAGAGCACAAAATTTTAAAACATCACCTTTCATATATTCCAAAGCATTATCAGTACGAAGAATACGAACAAAAGTAGAGAACTGAGTTTTTATTTCATTATAAAAGAGTTCAATGACGTGCGAGACCTCTGACCTCTCTTTTAACAGATAAAGTCACGTCATTCGAGAGAAATCATCAACAAAGATAATAAAATATTGAAAACCTTGCACAGAGGGAACACGATAAGGACCACAGACATCAGAATGAACCAACTCAAAAGATAAGCTACTATGTTTATCGACTCGACTCTGAAAAGTAGCACGATGGTGCTTACCCAGTTCACACGATTCACAACCTAAAGAGGAAATAGATGGCTGAACAGAAACTACCGATCTAAGTTTTTGCAGTGAAGGATGACCCAGACGCCAGTGCCACAATAAAGTAGAGTCATACTGTGATGCAACAAGTCCAGCCTATGGCACACTATCGTCCAAATAGTATATACCTCCTCTCTCATGCTCGAACCAATCTTCATCCCAGTTGCTAGGTCCTAAAAAACACAATAAGATAGAAAGAATGTGACTTTACAATTATTTTGTTTTATAAACTTGCTAATGGATAATAGGCTAACAGGGAATTTGGGAACATATAACACATCAGTTAGTTTTAAAGAGGAAGTAGCATGAACCACTCCATCACCACGAACTGGAGAAAGAGTATCATCAGCAATGCGGATAGAGAAAACTTATCAGAAAGATATAAAGATACAAAGTGATCCTTTATACCTGTCATATGGGATGAGGCTCCAGAATCTAGTACCCATGGTTTGTGAGAAGAAGCTATGTAAGCATCCATACCTGAAGAGGATGCATGAGTAGCAGAATGAATGTTATGAGAGAGTTTTAGCTAGCGTAACTTCTCATAATCTGCCTGAGAAATCTGAACAGTGGGAGCAAAAACAGCTGGACCACCAGAAGTAGTAGCAGAAATAGAGGAGTGAGTTAACTCGGTACCAGCTACCTGGGCCCACTGAGGACGACCAAACTTCTCCCAGCACTTCTCAGAAATATGATTGGTTCTCCCATAGTGACCACATTGACGTGAGCCCTTATCAGATTCACATTGCCTTCCACCAAAGGAGCCACGTCCTCCCCCTGAATCACGGCCACGACCACGACCGTGGCCTCTGCCTCGACTAGAGAACATGACAGACTGATCCATTATAGGTGGAGACGGTGCAATAGTATTAGAAGTAACACCAATAGAGACCTGCATGACTCTGGAGAATGTAGCAGTCAGTGAGGGAATGGTATCGCCACCCAATATCTGTCCCCTCACCTGGGACTGTAAGGTAAGGTGCAATCCAGAAAGAAACTTGGACACTGCCAGATCGCGACGATACCCTAACAACGTTGCTGCATCAGCTACTGCAGGCTGATGTATCTCTAGTTCGTCTATCAGTCCCTTCAACTCACCAAAGAACTCTGGAACTGACTTATCTCCCTATTTGATCGCAAACACTCGCTCATAAATTTCAAATACACAGGAAACATTTTTCTCATTCCCGTACATAATCTTCAAGTTGTCCCACATCTCTTTCGCAGTGGTTAAGAACATAATGATGCTACTGATCTGTGCTTCCATACTATTGAGAAACCACGTCATAACACAATAATCAGATGACAACCAAGAATTGTAGGTGGGATCTGTGGTGGGGGTGGAGATGCCAGAAGATGTTGGAGTTTGCTCTGAGCTCCAATGAAGATGTGGAAAGCTTGTGCCCAGAGCAGATAGTTTGTACCATTCAATTTGATTGTAGTCCCCAAGACTACCTTGGGCGTAGAGGTCTCACTAACAACAACAGAAGGAGTAGTTGAGGAGGAGATTTTCGACATCGTAGTAGTAGTCATTTTGCGCAATAATAGTAGTCAAATAGCTAGTTCAGTAGTAGAGATTTGTTCTCAAAACATAAACCGATGATATGTCAGCTGGACATATATCAAAGTAGTAGACAGTCACGCCTTCAAGCCTGTAGGCAATAAAAATTGCCTTTAATCCTTATCAGAGAAGTTCAGAACAAAACTGCTAAAACCTCACCCGAAATAGCGAAAAAGGGGAAAACGCAGATATCTCCCAAACCGTAAGGAATTTGGCGAAACGGAGGAAGCGAACCAAAGCCTTTGGCTTGGTTCGGATGGCTCCATCTCGTCGAGATAGGCGATTTTCATATATAATTCGTCCAATTCCGACTTACGGTTTGAAAGTTACGGCCTATTCTTCAATCCATGCTCAGGAGCTCGCCTGCAACTCAAATTCGCCTGCAGTCCCAAATCCGCCTGCATACCCAAGTCTGCCTGCGCACCTGAGCTCGCCTGCAAACCCAGTTCGCCTGCTAGCTCGCCTGCAGACCCAAGTCCGCCTGCAGTCCCAAACTCACCTGCAGACCCAGTTCGCCTGCAAGCTCGCCTGCAGACCCAAGTCTGCCTGCAGTCCTAAGCTCGCCTGCAGACCCAAGCTGCAGACTCGCCAGCTCACTGTCAACTGCCCACTTGGAGTATGGGAACAGTTACATCAGTGGTCAAATCCCACAAATCAAGGGAGAGGGCACAATACTCCAGGCCCGTCAGATGGCCGTCCACAGTACGAATGAGCGGACAGGCGCCGAAACAGCCTGCACCCTCATAAATGCGGCTCACCTCAGTTGTCCAGGTGAAGGGACGAGAGCCGCCAACGCTCGGTGGTTGGTCAGATCCACGCAAGCATCTGACAGCCGTTGTCACGCATACGAGGAAGGGCTTTCCCACTCCTATGTAGCGTGATGCAGAGCACACCTCTTCGAATGACCATTGACGGTACGAATGAACAGCAGGACGTCTCCGAACAACGTGTGGTCACATCCCATAATTTAAGGAGCAGTCAAGCTATCTCCCTCACCTCTATTAGTGGTCAAATCCCATGAATCAAGGGATGGCCCATGCCATCCCTTGCCTGTTAAAACCCATCTTCAGCAGCATGAAGAGGGGGATTGGCTGTTGCATATTCTGCTGGCTAATCTCCCAAAGGTTGAACCTGGAACTTTGCCAAAGGCTCCCTCATTTGAGAACCGAAGCTCCGGCTCCGGCAGCAACTTCGATCGGAGCGTCCAAGGGAAGCAGACTCGGCACGAGCACCGAGCGAGGCGTCCTATCGCCACCGAGGAACCCACGTTAAACAAGGAGGGCCTTCCCTCCGCTTCTGTTGTAAACATTTGATTTATTAGTTTGTAATAAGCCTTCTTATCAATACAAACGAAGTTCCCTATTTTCGGGAGATCAAAATTTACACCTACAAAGCCGTAGAGGCAATATCACCTGAGGGAGAGAGCCCTGACTGTTGTTTGCACAAAGGCTCAAGTCAAACTCTATATTCTCGTTTCTCGAAGGAAACAAGAATAGAAGTGAAATATCTCAACAATGTGAGATAGACACCCTTCCTCTCATCAGTTCTAGGACTGAAATGTCGAGTGAATAGTCAACACTGCAATAACAATTATAACAAGCAGCAACAAGCAGA